TCCTCCTCCTCTCATCCTCCTCCTCCACATCCTCCTCCACATCCTCCTCCTCCTCCTCCTCCTCCTCCTCCTCCTCCTCCTCCTCTGTCCTCCTCCTCCTCTGTCCTCCTCCTTCCTATGGTAGTGTTGGTGGAAAATCAGCCCATCACCTCGAGCTTGCCGAACCAGACGATGGCCGCGTGCACCACGAGCACGCTCAGCGAGATCAGCTTCATCGTCCTCCCGGGAACGTCGGATGACCACCTCACCGATCCGACGCGTGGCCTGGGATCGGCCCGGCCAGGATCGGTGCAGGTGGTCGGCGGACGCCCACCGAGTCCTGGCGTAGTCGTCAGGCGACGGCACCAGGGTGCAGCCCTGGGCTATCAGGATGAGCAGCGTGGTGTGGACAACCTTCGGGGAGCAAACATTGACACAGCCTCGAAATTTCGGAGGTCCGCGCGGATTTCTGGGATCGGCGCTGGAGCCAGGGAAGGAGGTCCAGCGCAGTTCAAAGAGATCAGCACGGAGCTCCGAAAGTTTATGCTTATGCCATCTTGTGTTCCTCTAACCTCATGGGCCCACGGAGGTCTGTTTCTGATGGCAGCGCTCCCAGAGGTGCATCACCGAGCAGGGGGTCGCATGCGCCCAGACAGGGAGCGGGCCGAGACGGCCGATCCAAGAAATCAGCGCGGACCTTCGAAAGTTTGTTCTGGCTCATGAAATTGCTTTTTCCCCGAGACCTGGCTGTCCTGGCCGCCTGAGTTCCTGGCACCCTGGCGTCCTGGCATCCTGGCATCCTGGCATCATCTCCATCGTTCGCAGTCGGTTGTCACGCCAGGGAGACTCTCGTGCGGGGTCCTACCGTCGGAGCAATGCTTTGCTCCTCGGGACCTGGCTGGCCATCAGCAGGCTCTCCGAGAGCGCGTCCAGGGTCTGCGCGCCGACGCCGTCGGAGCCGTAGAGGCAGAGGTGGACGCTGTGGAGAGCCTGCGCCGAGAACTGCAGCACCAGCGCGCCGGAGAGGACCCAGATGACCTCGGCGGGATCGGATCGACTCGGCGGACGCAAACGCCGTGCTCCACGGTGCCGCCGGGGCCCCTCGTGGGCCAGAAGCGCGGAGCTCTGCGCTCAAACGTCTGCCTGGACCGGCCTGCCCAGCGGCGAAAACAGCACCGCGGCCCCAACCCTCCACCGCGGACCCAGACGACCTCGGCGGGAAGGAGGCGGAGTCCCGAGAGCCTCTCGTCCTTCTGCAGGGCCCCCTCCTGCCATGAGGAAGTGTCCTGGCGAAGGGCCCAGGCATGCGCAGTGACGGCATCGCCTTCGATGGATTCCTGATGTGGTCACGAAGCGTGTAACATGCTTGCAGAAGCGGAGCGAGGACGCATGCGGGCGCAGCCATTGGGGCAGTCGGTGGCGCTCCATATGGGGCCCCGAAACGTGTGAGATGTGTGGAGAGAAGGGGTGGGGACGCCATGCGAACGTCGCCACTGGGGCCACCGGTGGAGCTCCCTGTGGGGCCACGATCCTCGTGAGGGGTGTGCCGAACTGGCCCGAGTCCGCCATGCGGACTCTCCTGCCACTGGAGCTCCCTATGGGACCACGATCGTCATGAGGGGTGTGCCAAATTGGCCCGAGTCCGCCATGCGGACCCTGCCACCGGGGCCCTTCGGTGGAGCTCCCTATGGGGCCACGATCCTCGTGAGGGGTGTGCCGAACAGGCCCGAGTCCGCCATGCGGACCCTGCCACCAGGGCCCTTCGGTGGAGCTCCCAATGGGGCCACGAGGTGTGCCGAACTGGCCCGAGTCCGCCATGCGGACCCTGCCACTGGGGCCTTCGGTGGAGCTCCCTATGGGCCACGATCCTCGTGAGGGGTGTGCCGAATTGGCCCCAGTCCGCCATGCGGACCCTGCCACTTGGGCCCTTCGGTGGAGCTCCCCATGGGGCCACGGTCCTCGTAAGGGGTGCGCCAAACTGGTGGACATGCGGCGCGCAGCGGCAGGGATGGGAGGAGGGAAGAAGAGGCAGCGGGAGGTGAGTGACGCGGGGCGCTTTCTATTCAAGACGAGGACCCAACACCACAGGAGGGTTGGGAAAAATCATGATGTCGGGGGTCTGGGGGGGGTCATTGGCAACGTATAGGAGGGGCCTTTTTGCTTCCCCGAGGGGGGAAGGGGGAGGAGTAGGAGGAGGAGGACGACGACGAGGAGGATGAGGAGGAGGAGGAGGTCGGGGCTCGAAGAGCCTCGCGCCGTTCAGGGGCCCCGTCGGGGGTGTAGGGCCCGTTTCCCTCAGGGCCCCCTCCCCTTGTCGCGGCGGGTGACCGGGTGGATGGAGAAGGTCGACCTCTGGAAGGCCACGCACCTGGCGGCGTAGTCCACCAAGAACACGGTGAGCAGCCCGATCGCCAGGCAGTGCGCGCCCAGCATGCGCCGGGCCTCGACGCTGAACTCCGACCCGCCCTCTTGGCGTGCCCGGAGCTCGAACTCCACCTCGACCTGAGAGGCCGCCCAACCACAACTGGGGGAGCTGTGGTCCTTACCCCCCTGGGGGAACCCATCGCCTCGACGATCTCTCGAGAGGGGTGTCGAAATCGATGGGTCCCCCAGGGGGGTAAGGACCACAGCTCTCCCAGTTGTGGCTGGCCTGAGAGGTCAGCGCTTCACGCACTGATCCAGTACCCGCCCCTCCCCGCTCCTTCCGTTTCCCCCGAGCAGGAGGGGTGCGGCCACTTCACGGCCTGGCACCGCGTGGATCGTTCAACCTTGAAAGGCCGCGGCGCTCGGATAGCGCGGAGCCGTCGGCGTCGGCCGATTCCACGCCACTGGCTAGATGGCGCCATCCGAACCCTACCCCACTAACCGCCGATTCTCTTGAATCGATATAGAGCAAGTGTTCGACGAATTCCGAACCCTACCCCCGCCGCCCGTCGAGTGGCCTGCATCGTCGATCAGCGAGGGTAGGGTTCGGACTTCGCCGCGGACTCGAACGATTGCGGCGTTCCGATGGCGCGGATCCGTCGGTGTCCTCCCTCCTCCCTCCTCCCTCCTCCCTCCTCCCTCCTCCCTCCGGCCGATTCCAGACCCACTGGCGGCGCTCAACCCCGCACGCCCGCGCGGGGGGGCCGACGCTGCGCAGACACGCCGCGAACCTGCTGCGGAGGGGGGCGGAAAGTTGGGCTGGCGGCCGCAGCGACGGTCTCCGCCGTCGCCGCCGCCGCCGCCGTCGTCGTCGTCGTAGTCGTCGTCGCCGTCGCCGTCGACCGTCTCGTTGCTGTTCACCGGGTTGCCGCAGTTGGAGAGCGCGAAGTACCAGATGTGCGGACGCACGCGCTGATCCAGCGCCCCCTCGTGCCAGTCGGACCACTCGCCAGACCTCTGGACTCCGGAGTCCAAAAAACGGTATGAACATAAACTGTCGTAGGTCCGCGCGGACTTCTTGGACCTACGCCGGACCCCCCTCCCTGGCGTGCCGAGCGCGCCAAGGGCGGCGCCAGAGGCGCCGCCGAGAGGCCGAATGCCGGTCCGAGAGATCCGCGCGGAGCTCGCAGAAATCATGTGTATGTCGCCTTCTGGGTTGTGTGGCCACGTTGCCACAGCTGCGGTGAGCGGAGGGGGGAGACCCCCACCCGAGAGTGGCGAATCTCAGCGGGCGCAGCGAGACCCGCAGGAGACTGAAAATGCCACCCGGGCAGAGCCCCGCAAGGGGCGGGCGAAGGGCTCACCCCGCGGGACGAGCGAGAGTATGCCTGCGCCGCTCTTTTTAGACGAGCGCGGTCCACTGCTCGGTGACTTTTTGTTGGACAAGCACGTTCCACTACTCGCAAATCAACTACTCGCAAATGGCCTGGATCCGCCGCGGGTGATTTACTATATATACACACACATACATATTTACATAGATATAGAGATGTATAGATGTGTGTATGTACATATACATACATGCATATCTATATGTATATATATGTGTAGATATATATCACATAAAGGAAGACCTGCTTTTCCCCAGACGTTTCCGAGTAGGCACTTTGCGAGTAGTGGAACGCACTCGGCGATTTTGATTCGAAGGCCTGCTGATCTCCACATCGTACGACTGCCGGCACAGGTGATTGCCGGTCCGCTCGCAGAAGGGCGCGGCCTGGACCCGGTCCCAGTCCTCGTCGAGGTAGACGTGGAGGCTGAGCAGCTGCGCGCTGTGGCGGATGCTCCGTGGCTTGTGCAGCCTCAGGCGGACCTGGGAGAAAAGAACGTAAAGACAGACGATCGGACCAAGACGTGCTAGCGTCGAGTACATATATGTTTACACACAGCAGCAGAAGCAGCAGCAACAGCAGCAACAACAACAACGACGACGACGACAACAACAACAAACAACAAACAAACAAACAAACAAACAAACAAACAAACAAACAAACAAACAAACAAACAAACACACACACACACACACACACACACAAGCAAGCAAGCAAGCAAGCAAGCAAGCAAGCAAACGAGCAAACAAACAAAACGACGGACGGAGCTTGGCAGATGTCGGCCTCCGAGGGCCCTCGCCGGGCCCCGGGACCATCAAAAAAACACTCAGACTGGAAAGCTGTCCCCGGTGAAGAGGTCGTGACGTCCAGGGGCGCCGTGTCGAGTGGACTCACATGCCTGGGTAGACTCGCGGAGATCCCCCTGGCCTTCTGGCATCGGCGCTGGAGGCCCCTCCCCGGCACGCGGAGCGCGCTGGGGGCGGCGCCAGAAAGTACCGCCAGGGTTGAGTCGGGCGAGTCCCCCTAGAGGGGGATTTTGGGCGAAGAATGAAAAATACCCCAAAAATACCCCCCAAATGCTCAAAAATAGTCAAAAGAATCGTCCCCTGACTATTTTTTGACTCTTTGTGACTATTCCCCCTGTACAGGGACACGCCCGACTTAACACGAGGGAGGGCCCACGTCGATCCCAGAAATCTGGCTGGACCTCCCCCCAACGTTTCTGTTCGCACTGTCAGGGTGTTCGTGCACGGGGAGGCAAAGTAGGGGGGATAAAGAAACGTGCACCAAGCGTGTTTTTATGTTCGGCCCGCGATGAAGTTTAGAGGTAATGCAGGCCCCCTTTAGGGGCACACTCCTGCAATCCTCGGGCGCTGCGTGTAGCACCCCGACGCTGTTCAAAAGTGGAGCTCGCAAATTTTGCATAAGCGAGATTGCAACAACATCCTATGTTTCATCTTGCGCGCGCCAATTTCTTGAACGCTGACTCCTGAGACGGACGCCGCCTTCAAGAGGTATTCCGTGACATACGCACCCTGCAGTTGCAGAGCCATGGACACATACTTGCCAGATGTTGCTGTTGTGGTGTTGACTGTAAGGAAAAACTGTCCTGCAATCCTCGATCCCCCCGCGCCTATTGCCGCCCCGTTGCCCTCCGTCCTCGCGCTCTACCGGCCTGCCTGTGCACTGCAGCCCGAGGCCCGGCGATGCCCGCGCGCTTGCACGCTGCAGCCCCGCCTTCTCCTGGCCGCCACGTGCAATCGATTGGCTTGCCAGTGCGCCGGCCAGGCGCGGCTTCTTCCGCCCGCTTGTTCGCTGCCGCCCGCCCGAGCCGCCCCGCCCCTTGCCCGCGGGCCTCGTACACCCCCGTGCCGAGGTCGTAGCCGAACTTGCTGAGGTACTGCCAGCGGCTGCGCTCGCCCTCCCGCCCTCCGACGCCCACCTCGGCAGATGTCGGGAGAGAAGGCGTTCCTGGCCCAAGGTGTCCCCAAGCTCTTCGCTCCGTTTGGAGCCCCTGGGGCCCTCTGGGCCTCGCGAGGGGTGCTCTGGAGGCCGTGGGGGCTCTCTTGGAAATCCTGGGGGGCACCTCGGGCCAGGGGGCAGCTCGGGCAACGCCCGACTGAGGGGTGGGGCCGCGAGGGCAGAATTATGTCGGGCCTGTCCCTCTACAGGGAGGATGTTCAAAAATAGCCAAAAAAATAGTCTGGGGACGATCTTTTGAGTATGTTTGGGCATCTTTTGAATATTTTTGAATATTTTCAATTTTTCGCCCACAAGCCCCCTGTAGGGGGGACAGGCCCGACCGAAGGACAGACGTGGGACGCATCAGAGGACACGCTGCTGCGGTGCGCCCCCCCTGTGGGAGGCGCACGTCGGGGACCCGAGCAGATCGACGACGGAGCCGCCGCCTCCTCGTTCGGGGGCCGCGCGGGCGGGCTCCTCGCCTGTTCCACCCCCCAGAAGGGGGGCCACCTCTCGCCCTTGGCTTAGGTCGGGCCTGTCCCCCCTACATGGGGGCTTCTTGGACGAAAGATGAAAAATCCTCGAAACATATTCACAAGAGGCCCAAACATACTCAACAAAAAAGTCCCCAGACTGTTTTGCTTGGCTACTTTTGAACCTCCTCCCTGTAGAGGGACAGGCCCGACAGAATCCTCGGCGGGACGGGTGCCCCATGCGCTCCCGGCTCCTCGAACGGGGGAGCCACCTCCGGATGGCGCAGACCCGGGCCCGGGGGGCCAGAAAGCGCCCACCACGGAGCTCGCACTCGGAGCTCCTACCTGTGAGGTGTCGCGACGTGCGCGCCGCCCTCGCACGGCCGACGCCCACGTGTGGCACGAGCATGCTCGCGCAGCGCGGAAGGAACGGGACCCCAGGCTACCAGACCTCCTCGCGTCGTGGACACACCGCGGCGGACTGGCCGTGCTCGGCCCCCCGGGGCGCTCGCCCGGCCCCGGGGCCGTCACAAGACGACTCGGGATGTGAGAAAACCAGCCCTGCCCCAGAGATCCGACGTCGTGATTTGTTCAACACGGGGTCCCCAGAAATCTCGACCCATTCCCCGGGACCGGTTTCTCATCCCGAGTCGTTTTTTGACGGTCCCGGGGCCCGGCGAGGGCCCCTCGAGGCCGAAAAATGAGAAAAACCTGCGTCCTGATTTTTTCAATACGTTGGATCTCTGGGGCCAGGGAAAGGGTCGGGACTTCCGGGGACACCGCCTCGAAAAGATCGAGCCACCGCACGTCCGGGCTGAAAGCTCGCACTGTTCGGGGCCCTTCCACCGATCCGCACGCTCCCGAGGGCGAGGAGGCCTCGAGCGGTGAGCCCCCTCCTCCTCCTCCTCCTCCTCCTCCTCCTCCTCCTCCTCCTCCTCCTCCTCCTCCTCCTCCTCCTCGTCCTGCTCCTCCTCCTCCTCCTCCTCCTCCTCCTCCTCCTCCTCCTCCTCCTCCTCCTCCTCATCCTCCTCCTCGATTCCTGGCCCTTACGAAAAACTCCTCCTGTCGCACCCTGAGGCCAGTCGGAAGGGCGGGCGGGCATTTCGCCTGAGACCTCCTTGCCGCTTACGGGCCTCAAGCTGAAAAACTGACAGCGGCTTCACAGATGGAGGGCGTGACGCTTCCAAAATGCGGCTGTCGCCTTAGCGCCGCGCACAATCGTTTGAAACTATCCTGGCGAAGGGCACAACCAGATGCAGTTGTAAGTATCGCCGTTGTGGGTTGGCGGGGCAGACGCATGCGGGCGGTGCCACTGGGGCCTTCAATGGAGC